GCAGAACTTGGAAGAGGTAATTCAGTGACTGAATCAGGTGTGTTGGAGCAGGGAAATATCTAAAACATGCAGGACTGCGGCCCTCGAGGACCAGGATTGCCCACCCTTGATTTAAAGGTACTCATTGTAAAGTATGAAATTAAACAACAACAAAAAATAAAAAAAATGACCTGGACTATTACAAACAGTGTGGTTTGAATGAGTTTACTCCAGCAGGTTTCCAGATATTTAAGTGTGAAATGCAGGTATGCACTCAATGTAAACAAAGCACAAAAACTATGCAAACTAGACTCTGTAGGTGTTTCTTGGCTGTGTGGGGGGAGTTTGTCCTAACTGTGATTGGCAGAGTTCTTTGGTGTGGGCGGGGTTTGTCTGAACCATGATTGGTGGAGTTTGGAATATAGGCGGGGTTTCCCAGGTGTGGGTGGATTGGTCGGACTGACTTGTCTTGTTTTGTAAACATGTAAACATAATTTATTGACTTCAAAATATGTGACACCTTCCTGTGTCGTGTAATGGCTAAAATTTGTTTATTTATTTAACATTATAGGTACTTTTTGGCTGTTTTGACCAAACTCCACCCCCAGCTCCTCCCACACACCAAGACACTCCCACTTAATGACTGCAGAGACTTTCTCTAGCTATGTGGAAGCTTGAGTCTCAGCTGACCCACATTAGTCTGTATGTAAACAAATATGAAGGTTAATTTAACGTTTGAGCTAAATTTAAAACTGTTTTTGTAGGTAAATAAATGAATCTTAACGTAAGGACGCATGAGAAAAGTTTCGAGCGGCTTTTGTTTCTATCTTTATGAATTTCTTCATGACTTTGCAGTGAATACCTTCAACTGGGTCAGTTTCCTCCACAGCAGGTCTTAAAACAGTAGCAGAGACAAGAAAGTCCAGCATTTCCTCCTCAGGGAAAGTGACAATTGTTCTTTTTTCTCCTCTCGTGGTAACATCATCCTCTTAAAAATAAGTTAAAACAGGACCCATCAAAAACAAAAACACCCGGTGCCGATAATTGAAACTTTTCCAGTGATGCTACACAAAGTCACGAGTTAGTTTCCTCTCTGTCTCTGATGATGTCATCGAGAGACCACCGCCTTCCATAAGTGCCTCTGGGAAGCTGAAGAGTCTTCAGGGGCAGATTAGGTGCAGAGCGACGACCATTTTTACAACACAAGGCTTGGATTAAAATCCCATCTGGTCATGGTTTTTCACATGTTGTCGTCTGTCGTATCCAGTTAGGTTCGTCTCTTCCTCAGATCAAGAGATCTGATGGTTGATCAGGAGCAGTTCGTTTCAAGCATTTGGATTCACAATCATTTCAGCATCTCACGTCTGGATGTCTGACGGTTCGGTGTTCAGGAGCCCTCCTGCTTTAAGTAGGGGCAGAGCGGCTTGCCCCACCTTCCCCAGGTAGCGTGACAGGGGCGTGGCCTCCCCGCTGAGGGAGCAGCAGCAGGCCCAGGCTGCGGCCTCCTCTGGGCCAGCGGGGCGGGGGGCGAGAGCTGGAGGAGGGGCGGGGGAAAGCAAGGTGGGCTCTGAGGCGACAGTGGGGAGCGAGTTACGGGAYGATGTGGAGATGTGAGATGAAAAGGATCTGAAAGGGCAATAAAAGCTAGAGTTCTCTTTAAGACAAGCCCTTCGTGGCTGCCTGGTGTGCGGCAGAATCAAATCTAGCTGCCTTGGTGTGTTTGAGCTCTGATGTGATGAAAACAGCTCTGAGGGTTTAGAGAAGTCAAGCAGAGAGCCGTCAGAGCTGATGGTGGATGAGAGTGAGGAGAGCAGGGGAAGGTTTGGATCATGGTCTAAAGACGGTTCTGGTTCTGGTTCAGGGTGGGGATGTGCAGTCGAGGCAGCAGCCCCACAGGAGGGGGGAGGGGCCAGGTGTGTGGATGCTGTGGTCCCTCTGGAAAAGCAGGCTGACATGACAGAGAGGGAGGTGCTTTTGGGAGAGTCTGAACAGATGGGAGAGGCAGGGGAGGAGGAGGAGGGCTCCTGAGGTCCTGTCAGAGACTGGTCCCGGAGGCGCTGGAGTCGGGGAGGTAAGTTGTGACGACCCGGTAACCCTGGGCGCGGCGGATCATGTCCCGGATCTCCCCGTTGAGCTCCAGCAGCTTGGAGCAGATCAGGCTCAGGTCCTGTCGGGAGCCCACCAGGGCGATGGTGCCCGTCTGGCCCAGGGTTTGGTGACGGAAGTAGATGTTGAGCAGCGTCTGGACCGCGCTCTCTGAGCTGCCGCCGAACACCTCGCAGGGCCACTGCCGCCTGGAGGCAAGATCAGAGACAAACGGAGCCCATCAGCGAAACAAAGGAAACGTTGAGTCAATGTGGGAGAAAGAGGGAGAGAGGAAGTCTGTGTACTTTTAGGCCATTTAATTTATGTTTTAAAAAAAGATATTTAAAAATATTCTATTTTCAATTTATACTCCAAAAACAAGAAAACGGTTTATTTCTCTCAAACTGGAAGTTGAACACTGTCTTTATCAGACCATTTAAGGTGGAGCTAATTGAATATTTTTTTAATAACAGCCTGTAAATAAATAAAGAAACGCTAGCTAACTAGTTTTGAATATCTGTAACTAACTACTTGCGTATTACTGCTTCATTAATATACCTAGTCCAGTTAATTTATTTAAAAAAAAAAACTATTTATCTAGCTCCACCTTAAATGGTCTGATAATGGGATGATTAAACATGTTTTACTTTTTAACTAGCTAACCATTCAGCTGCAGCTCATGCCTCCTGAAAGTCGTCGCTCACCTGCACTCCTGGATGTAGCGCACAGCTTTGGCAAACTCCTGGCTCCGAAGGCACTCCAGTATGGCCTGCACGGCCGCCTCGGACGTGTTGAAGCTGGGCACGACCACGGCTGCCACCTGGGCGGCGTGCGTGTGGGCCAGGTGCTTCAGCTCCAAGTCACTGGAGACGGCCGCCTCTGCTGCCTGCAGGGTGGTCCTCAGATCTGTGAGCTCCTGGGACATGTTCAGCAGCTAAGAGGGGCAACAGATGGTGGTGAGGGTACATAGAGGCAACAGTGGCATTAATAGGACTCGCTGCTCAAGATTATTATCAGGAAGATGCTCATTTAAAAYGGTTAAAGCATAATTAGACTGTGGGGGTTGTTGTAACTGTGTCGTTTGGCTCACCTCAGGCACAGAGCTGATGGCTTGAACTTGACCGATGAGTGAACAGTACGACTGGAACAGCAGCAACAGCTGGAAGTGCAGCTTGTAGAGTCGCTGACAGAGCTCCAGTTGCTACAAGACGAGGAAAACCAGGTCAGCGGTAGAAAAACACATATTCCATACAGATTTACACACCCGCTTAGGATGTTATCATCCATTAAATGGACGTTATTAGCCATTATCAGTCCCATAGAATGCTTCAGACTGTCAGCTGGTTAATWTGAGGCGTAAAACCACTAAGGCTTTTAATGCAATCTAGTTAATATGAGACATTAAACCACTAAGGTTAATTTTAGAGAAAATGACATGGGTTACAATAAAGTTCACCGGACTCCGGCGGTAGCAGATTGTTGCATTCCAACGTACTGTATATGGCACTGGTAACCACTAGAGGGCACAGTCGAGACAGTCCGAAGCCATTCTATGGGACTGATAACTGCTAATAACCTCCATTTAATGGACTGATGACATCCGAACCGGCTGGATTTACACAACAAAAGTTTTAAGTGAAGTCGGCGAAGCAGCTTTTTTTTTCAGAGGAATCCGAGGCAGTGAAGTAAAGGAAGGTGGAAGAGAACTTACTGCAAGAGACTCCATTTGCTAGACAGCGAGAGAGCATGTTAGGGCAGCAGAGTGAGGTGAGAGGAAGACAACATGTCAGTCAAACACATGCAAAGCACTTCTATCAGTCAGGTCACAAAGAATTAGTCTAAAATTACAGAAACTCTGAACTTTAGATTTTAGTGGCCAGTAGAAAAACTCAGGAGTAAAACAGACCAAACATGCAAAAAAGGGCTCATATTTCAGAGAAGCAATGGAAATAACAAGCGCAGATAAAAATAACATATTTTCTCTGTCTTCCTGTAAAATCTAGGTTTGTGTAAAGTTACAAAAAAATATATATAAACACAAACCTTCTCTTCTGAGTCTCCCGGTTGGCAGGTCACCACACTGTCACCGGGACACCTGGGAAATGTGTCCCTGCAGTTCCTCAGCCACTGACAGACAAATTATAAGAAACAAATAATGAACAGACATTATTTTTAGTCACATATTTACGACCAGAAACACCAAATTACCGAAACAGCCGCCTCCTCTCTGCTGTTGTAGGTGTCCAGGTACTCCTGCAGCTCCAGTGCACTGAACTTCATCTTTTCAAGGAGACCATAAGACATGATCTAGAAACAAAAACAAACAAAAGGCCATTAAGAAAGGAGCTTGGTAGAATGGCTCCAAGTCTACTAGCATCACTCACCGTGTCGGCATCAATGAAGATCGTAGGACAGTCTGAGCATGTGGTCAACATTTGCGACGACCTGAGAAACTTTGATCCGATGCCTCTTAGTCCCTCACCAAGGTAGGTGGCAACATCATTGGTCAAGGTGCAGAATTTACCCTGAATGTTCTGAAAACAATGCGTACAAGAGAAGTTATTTCAGCAAATACTACTGGATATGAGACGAAAAATAAAATACAGCGATGATTTACCTTGAAGAGCGATGAAAAGACTTGAAAAGTGTAAACAGCACAAGAGCCGTCAGAGTCGGTCACCAGCTGGTTAACGTGACAACGCCACGCCTCCTCGGCATCGTCACACACTATGGGCTGGAACGCCGCCAAAATGGCAGAGAAAAAGGGCGAAGGGGGAGGAGGGAATCCAAGGTCTTCCAAATCATCGACATCCCCCCGTAGGCTGGAACAAAGGAAAATGGAGAAGCTGTCTGTATAACATTGAAGCTAATTAAAAAATAATACAGAAAACTTGAGTATACCGTAATTTCCAGACTGTAAGTCACACTTTTTGTTTGTTTGGTTCTGCTTATGGTCAGGTACAACTTATTTAAGGTTTTTTCCTCTTCATGATGCGTTAAATGTTAGTTCATACTGACTGACATAAACCAAAGTGTAAACATTACCATCAACAGCCATGAGAGGGCGCTCTAGGCTACTACGGTTTATTTTGTTCTTGTCACAGTTTTAAAAAATGTGCGGCAGAACGAAAGTTTGGAGTGAATGAGAAACATATGAGGAACTGGTGGAAAGCAGTGGTTACTCTTAATGCACCGAAGGAAATGGAGAAAGCTAATTGTGAGATGTGGAATGAGACTGGTGAACTTACAGGTAACTTGCTTGTTGAAATGCTTTTTCATTTTATTTGTGACACAACAATAATGGGCTACACTAAATTAGAAGGAAAAGTACAGAAGACTGTACCGAACCATCCAGCAGTATGACACTAATGACGAGAGGGCAGGACGACAGAGGACTGTAAGCTAATGGTAGCTAATGTTAGCTTGCTGCGGTTGTTGTTTATTTGAACTCCTGTGATAAAAACGCTACAGTCATTGCGAGTTAATCTCGTCTGTGTCATCTGTCACTGTTAATTAAGGCTATTCTGCATCCCAGAAGGTAAGTTCTGTGTTATTCCAGATTAAATATCTGTTCTGGTGCAATTTATAATCCAGAAAATGTGGTAAATAACAACTGCAACTACAAAAAGCGAGCCACTAAAATGTGGACTGTGCCAGTTGTTAAGTGTAGAGTTATAAATAAACATTAAAAGTTCATCGTTCCATGATGTTTTACCTGGGCAGATAGTTGGGGTCTAGAAAGTCCAGCGGGGGGTGGCAGTAGTTTGGGTTCAGACCGCGGTCTAGATTTGGTAGCTGATCTTGAGGCTGCCCTGATAACTCCAGAGTGAAGCTCTCGCCGCAGTCTGAGCCTTGAGGAAGCTCGTTGGTGCTCAGAGACAGTTCATCATCCTGAGCCTGAGTGTCCTCATCCTCACCACATGCTCTCACCTACAGAAACAAAGACATCACAGTTTCCCTGACAGTAACAACATAAAGTTTTACTTATTAATGCCATTCCTCACGTTTAGGCTGCTGTGATCTTCGGTGAAGCCTCCCTGGCCCGGTGTGGTGGCATTGAAGGACTGAGGGTCGGCAGATGTGTCATAAGAAGTAGACAGAGAATCTGTGTGGTTGGTTTCCTCAGACGGAGAAGGGTTAGTCTGGAGTAAGGTGGAAAGTTCCAGATATTACAATTTGTCAGGCTTCAGCAGAAGCTTGTTTTGATCAAACAGTTAAGGCTACACACGAGCTGAGAATGAGAGAGGCTCTGGCTGGTCGAGGACTCCTCTTCCTCGGAGGACTCGTCTGAATCGTGAGGGTCCTCGTGACCCAAGCTGGGGGTGCTCCCCGAGTGCTGGCTCTCCTCCAGCAGGTCGCCCAGTTCCGTGCTGTCCAGAGACCGCCGCCGGACTCCCCAGTTGAAGTTATCGATGCTCTCTCCCTGGATGAAATACACAAAGGTTAGAAATAGCTGCGGTGCTTACAAGCACAAGATGCAAAGTGAAACTGTTAATCATTGTATGGAAATGTGCTGGAAAGGCAATCCGTATTATAATTTATCCCACAACAACCTGACAAATAGCAATAATGTCAACCAAGCTGTGAGAGCAAAACAAAGCACAGTCATTATGATTTAATTATTCCAGTATGAGACAAGGGAGCCAGCAACACCACAGCGCTTAGAAAAGCTGTAAACAGACAGTAAGCTTTTAGTTTAGGACACGTTACCTGGAGCTCCTGGGCAGCGAGGGAGGGGAGGGGGAAGAGAAAGACACAGAGTTAGATAAAGAGACAAGGAGGAACAGAAATATATTTCAGAAGTATTAAGAACGACAAAACACACAATTAGATTAAAACAGGAAGGAAGGAGACAGATGCTTTGATTTACTGTTAATCATAATAAATCCAGAGGTACTCACCTCTCCGTCCTCCAGCTCCACATCCAAGAAGTCAAAGTCTCTGAAAACCCTGAACTGCTGCTCACTAGCGGTGTCGTCAAAAGTGTCCTCTCTGGTTCCACCCTCCTCTGATGAGACGCCACTCTCGCGGACCTCCATCATGTCCAAATCGCCACAGGAGGAGAAAATCACCTGAGGAGAAACAGAAGAGTTTCAAAGGTAGCAGGAAAAGGTTAAAATTAAAAACACAATTTGTTTTTATATAAAAAAAACCTATACACATTCATCCTCCTTTGAATCATCACCCTATTGTGGTGGAGGAGTTTTTGTGCCTGAATGATCCCAGGAGCTATGCTGTAGGGTCTCCTAAGACAGATTGGTCCCAGGTGACAGGCCAGACAAAGAGCGGTTCAAAGTATCCGGCCTTCTTGGAGTCCTTAGCGAAGGTGCTGAAAGGTGCTCCAGATGGGGACTCTTATTATGTTGGGGGACTTCAGTGCTCACATGGGTAACGAAAGTGTGACCTGGAGGGGCGTGATTGGGAGGAACGGCCTCTCTAATCTATACCCGAGTGGTATTTTGTTGTTGGACTTCTGTGCTAGTCACAGTTTATTCATCATGAAAACCACATTCCAACATAAGGGTGTCCATAAGTGGACGTGGCACCAGGACACCCTAGGTCGTAGATCGATGACCAGATTGACCCAAACTTGTAGCGAAGGTTTGCTGGGAACGCCTGGCAGAAGAACCCGTCAGAAAGATCTCCAACCCACACTTCCTGGAGAACTTTAACCACAACCCAGCCGAGGCGGGGACATAGTGAGCCATGTTCTGCGCCTCTGTTGAGGCGGCTGCCTTGAGCTGTGGCTGCAAGAGTGTCGGTGCTTCTTGAGGTGGGCATCCTCTAACTCAGTGGTGGACACCCTAGGTTAGGTAGGCTGTCAAGTTAAAGGAGGAGTCCTATCAGGCCTTGTTGATTGGTAGGACTCCTAGTTGGGGGTGAGATTCTGCCTCAAGTGCAGGAGTTCAAGTATCTTGGGCTTTTGCTCATAAGTGAGAGAAGAATGGAGTGGGAGATTGATAAAGAGATGGTTCTGCAGTATTGTGGACTCTCCACTGGTCTGTTGTGGTAAAGTGGAAACTCTCGTTTACGATCAGTCTGTGTTCCTACCCTCGCCTACGGTCATAAACTCTGGGTAGTGACTGAAAGAACAAGATCAAAATACAAACAGTTGAAAAGAGTTTTCTCTGCAGGATAGCTGGACTATCACTTGGAGATAGGATAAGAAGTTCCTCCACATCAAGAGGAGCCAGTTGAGGTGGTTCGGGCATCTGGTAAGGATGCCTCCTGGACGTCTCCCTAGGGGAAGTGATTCAGGCATGTTCTTCTGAGAGGAGACCACGAGGAAGACCCAGGATACGCTGGAGGGACTATATCCCTCAACTAATCAGGAAAAATCTTGGAATCCTCCCAGAAGAGCTGGAAGAGGAAGCTGTGGAAAGAGGGGTCTGGGCCTCTCTGTTCAAGCTGCTGCTGGATGGATGGATGGATGGATGGATGGATGGATGGATGGATGGATGGAAGGATGGATGGATGGATAGATGGATGGATGGATAGATGGATGGATGGATAGATGGATGATGGATGATGGATGGATGGATGATGGATGGATGGATGATGGATGGATAGATGGGTGGATGGATGGATGATGGATGGATGGACAGATGGACGGACAGATGGATGAATGGATGGATGGATGGATAGATGGATGGATGCATGGATGGATGGATGCATGGATGGATGGTTGGATGGATGGATGCATGGATGGATGAATGGATGGATGGATGCATGGATGGAAGGATGCATGGATGGATGGATGCATGGATGGATGGATGGATGGATGGTTGGATGGATGGATGGATGGTTGGATGGATGGATGGATGGATGGATGGTTGGTTGGATGGATGGATGGTTGGTTGGATGGATGGATGGATGGATGGATGGATGGATGGATGAGGTCATTTTTATGTGCTACAGACACTTATAGTATTTGAGGCTTACTGATGGATTCTTGGTGAGTCCAACTTCTTGTCCACAAAGAGACAAAACGTTTACCAGCTTCTCTCTGGTTCTTTTCTGTGTGGAACCAAGATGACAAGAATTAGAAAACATTTTTTAAACAAATATCCCACATACTTTAAATACTATGTAGTTTAAATGAGACATAAAGAAATATCAGCTCTGACCTTTAAGTGTTTTCAAATTACAAATGTGCTTTATATTTTAGGAAACAGCATGAACCAAAATATATCAACAGTTGATATATCTTAAAAATGATGACAGCAAGTAAAAAAGCTATAACTAAGCGATGGTTTAGCGGGAATCCTCCCACCATTAATCAGTGAATGGATATTTTTAATAATATTTGGAGTACGGAGCATTTTACATTTAACTTAAGACTACAAAAAAAGGAAGATGGCCTCTGGGAAAAATGGGACATACCTTTTATGGTAAGAGACAACAACCTACTATTATCTTTTTCTGCCTGTTCATCATGAGTACTTTCGGTTAGTAATATATCCTGTTTAACCCTTGAGTTGTTTTACTAGATTTGCATGTTTTTTCTTTAATTTTTATTTTCATTTTCTGTTGTTGTAAATGTAAAACGGTCTTTAAAAAATGACATATCTAAACAGAACTGTACTATTTATTACTAGCGGAACAATAAATAAATAAATACAATTCTAAATCTATAAATATACATTAAATTATGATGTTTGACACTACCTGAGATAACTGTGGCCGCCTCCAGCTGACAGGCACCAGGATGGTGTTGGAATTTGACCCGGAGGAGGTGGAGGAAGCGCTTCGTGTGACGGCCATGGCTCTGGCCTTCCCCTCTCTGCCCCCTGAACCCTGGAGCCCATCGAATCGACGCCCGATAACAGGTGTCTGTGACAACCACAGGCAGACTTTTACTCTACACATCCCCTTACCTCCGACACAAAAAAGCTGTGCTGTCAGCGGATATTTAGTATTTTAATGAGCTCGCTCACCTCGGAGATGTCAAAGGTGAAATCGAGGGTTTTTCCTGGCAGAGCTTTGGCTGAACCGTCCCACACTCTGCTGACCTCCAAGTTGAAAAGATCTCCTTGTGTGTGGCTGTAAGCTGGGTGTACTAAACTGGCAGAACGTGAGACCACCAACTTTAAGATGTTCAAAGCATCTTTCCAGTGTACGGTCTGTAAAATAAGACACGTCAAACAGTGTGAGAGCAAACAAAACAATAACTACAGAAAGGAAAACTGAAGCACAAAAGGCTGTTAGACTCTAACCTGGACAAACTTCTCAATCGTCTTCATGACGTCAGCGTTGAACTGTTTGACTTGTACAGCCGTCAGGTCCATGTGACTCAACAGACAGTAGATGATCTGAAGAAGAGGCAGTTGCATACTGGGGATGCCTTTATCCAGCAGCTGAGGCGTGAAGAAAAACTCACATTTAGCAACAACTGGAGTGGCATGTGTGTGCCTGATATGTTTTACACTAAACTCTGACTGGTTAAAGAGAACAGGCTTTCATTTACAATAAAATAAAATAAAATAATGTATCTTGGCAGGCCTCACCTCAGCCATGTAAGTGACCATGTTGAGTGTGATGTCAGAGAAAGCTTCGTGGAGGTAGCGACAAACCACGCTGACCCAGGAGAAAGGATCTCGCGTGTACGATCGTGTCTTATAGAGCGTCATCACGTGCGCCAAGTGGGACAGCTTCGTGTTCTTCTCCTGCAAACACACCTGGGAGGAAGGTCGAAAAATAACAGACCGAGAAGATACAAAGAAGACATTCTTGTTTTTCCTTTTAGTTTGCATTTTTATGTCTTTTTAAAGGGATCCCTGATTAGTTGTAACATTAGACTTTATTTAATAAAATATATTTCAACTGTAAGATAAAGACTGTAAAAATACTGTAGGCTGTTTAGTTTTTATCATTTTTAAACTAAAAGTTTAAAAATATATTACATGGACGGAGCCATTTTATTTACACGCAAAGCATTCTGGGTAAATGATGACGTGGATAGGTTTTCGGTGCGAGGCTGCTAGCGAGCTATATCCACCCTGAAGGTTAATCTTGGACAAGCGCAAAGGCTAACAGGCTAAGCTG